AATTTACTTTAACTTTTTTTTTTTTTTTAGTACCAGGCATCAAACTCAGGACCTTGCACTTTAGAGGCAGGCAGCACGGTGGCACTGAGCTAAATCCCTGGCCCTTAATTTTATTTTTTGATAGAAAATCGTGATTTAGTATATCAAGATCTTCTTAATAGCATATAAGAGAAATTCAAACCAAAGGTAATCAAAGGAGGAATTACAAGAATCAAAGGAAGAATTACAATACTGAAGATTTCCTTAATTTAGCTAATACTAGCCTCTTAATTTGAATTGCTACAGTATCTGTAATCTGTAACATTCATCCTGACTTAATAACAGTAAAAGCTAATATTCATCAAGATAGTAGTAGGTGCCTGGCTGTGTTGTTTTACATTATTATCATATTTAAATATCACAGCAACTTTATGAAGTATTTCTATTTTCTCCATTTTAAAGATAAAGAAATTAAGGCAGAGAGAAATTAAGCAAATAATTTTCCCAAGGTTATGGCTGGTAAATGAGAATTAGGATTTAGAGCAGTCTGACTTCAAGCCCATGCTATTTTTTGTTTTGTTTTGGTTTTGAGACAAGGTCTCACTATTAGTTCAGGCTGGCCTCAAATTCACTATATAGCTCAGACTGGCATCAAACTCAGGGTGATCCTCCTGCCTCCCAAGAGCTGAGATCACCGGGATGCACCACAACAAGCCCATCACAGAGCCCATGATATTAATCACTGTGAAATGACATCCCTGTAAGGAAAACAATATATTATGTACCAAGAGAGATAAGAGTAAGTAGAGAGATCTATCTCAGCTTAAACTAAGTTGGATAGTTTTATACTGCTGAAGTAGAAATGACTTGCATGTTCATCAAAGGAGATCTTCTACAGGAAAAATAAATTATTTCTATACTATGTTAAGTGTAATTTACTTATAGAAATAGCATAACAGATCATTTTAATTTCATATATGCATTATGCTATGGCTCAAGAAAGAGCAGCTGTTTTTGCAACCTATTTGAACTTGCTGATTTAACCAACTCAAGCATACTGTATCTAAAAAGCTTTCTTAAGAAACAATGAAGTTAGTAAAAATCAAAAGCAAATGTCTCAGTACTTTTTTATTTAACTGCTTTTCAAGTTCTCTAAGTTATCATGTGCTTGTTTTTAAATGCACTATTTATAAATCTTGAAAAAAGATTTTTCTAGACATTTGTACAAGTTCTGCTTGCCCAAGTTCTGCCTGCCAAATCCTACTATTTGGAAGAAAGCCTCACAGTATACAACTATATTACAACAGGCTGATGCACTGAGGGTATCTCTGATGCTCAGTGTAAAATAAATCACTCACAGATATAATACATTTTTAATCTCAAAAGATGAGAATATACCTTTAATTTCATAACCAACTGTTAAATATAGAATATGCTAATGCCGTGTTGTGGGATTTTGTTTCACTTTGTCTTCGTGGTATTGAGGATTGAATCCAGGTCCTTGTGCTTGCTGGGCAAGCATTCTACCATTAAGCTACACTCTAGCTCTTTTGATATTTAAGGCAGGGTCTTGCTAAATTGCCAGTCTGGATTTGGACTTTAGATTCTTTCACCTCAACCTCTGAGTAGCTGGAATTGCAGGCATATGCCACCAGACCTGCAAGTACTATGGGTTTTTTGTTTGTTTCTTCCGTTTTTGTTTGGTTTGGTTTTGTTTTTTTAGGTAATGGGGATTGAACCCAGGGCCTTCCCAATGAGCGACATGCTCCCCATCCCCCTTTTTGGGAGACAGTTTCCCTAAATCAGTGGTGGTGAACCTAAGGCACACATGCCTCATCTGGCTGTTTGTTATCATTAAAAGCTCTAAAAGGTTCCCCATCACTGCCCTAAATCATTAAATGAGCTTGTAACTCTCCTGCCTCAGTCTCTTGGAGTGCTGGACTTACACGCATCAAGTATTGTATTTTATATCAAACTTCTCAAACGGCCCCAGGTCTACAGTCCCAACATTAGCTGGCTCATGCTGGTTAATAGTAAGTACTTAAGGAGCACCTAATATATGCCAGGAACAGTGGTCATCCACAGAAAACATATGTAATACAGACAGAGGCTGTCTAGAACCACAATTTGAACTCATGCTTTCTGGGAGTTCAAGTATTCAAAGTGGAAGCTCAAACTCCAATGCATAACACTTACTCTACATCCAAAAAATATCTGTCACTAGAACTTCAACAATCTATGTTAACAGAAAGAGACTCCAGTACATCCTGGAGTACAAAATAAGTCTTAGGTTACAATGATGTAGTATATTTGGTCCTCTGGAGCTTTACACCATGAAAATCTGGCACTTTCTTCAAAATGACTCCTTTTTCTGAAAAATTAGTTGTTTTAAAAACTAAAATTCTATTGCTTACAGAAACCATGACTTTTATTATTCTCTAACAGATCTCTCAAAAATATGAATAATGAAGAAATATAGCTTAATTTTATTGGTAAACTAATGCCAGAATACTTTATACGTTTTACTAAACCTCTCAAAAAGTGTAAACATAAAAGACACTTAAAACGACTATCAAGTAACATGCAGTACTCCTGAAGCCAGTATTTTTGCTTTGAAATGACCAAAAAGGATAAAACAGCTCCCTACATGTTTATTATAGACAATAAGTATGTCCAATTCCACAATTTATCCTAAAATAACTCCATTCTCACTGCAAATGATCCCTAGTAATTTCCAACGTGTAACCAACCTATTGTCCACTAGCTCTTCAGTCACATACCTCAAACAAGCCGTTTGAATTTCCTCAGCACACACCATGCCCCCTTCCTTCTATAAACATAGGAATTATAAAATATTAAGAAAATTAAAATAGAAAAGGTGAAAAACTATAGACAGTCTGCACCCAAGCTTTCCTTTATACCTAATAATTTGCCATTTATCTTAACCACCTACCTTCATGTTCCAGGACAATGCCTCCATCTTACTAACAGTTCACAATGTTCACTCTCTAACAAATGACAGGGTCTTTATGTGACCACTCTGGCTCAGCTTCTCTATTTAATCATTCAAGCCTTCCAGCTTTATCCTGTCAAGTATAATTACGCTCAAGCTCACAAACCATTACACAAAACCATCATATACTCTTGCGTCCTTTCAATCAACAAGCTCCAACACAATGTAAAACCTTCCCTAATACAGTACCGCCTCTTTCTTCCACACTCAAAACTCTTTGCTAAACGCCCTGCCAGCCCGGAGTTACACCCTCCCCAGGCTAATTCCTACAACCTCAAAACCCCACCCCCTCATCACGCCCTCCGCGGCCTCAGCCACCAACCCCAACAACCCGCCTCGTAGCCGGCACGCCCTCCCGATCTCTTTGGGGTCCTTTCCGCCGCCCTGGCCAGATCCTGCTCACGCTTTGAAAGTGCCAGGCTCCCCGAACACCGCTCCAGCCCCTGCCCCCAGCCCCTCACCGAGTAACAGCAGCTTCACTTCTTTGGCAGCTTTCTCCCCGTCCTCCCGCAAATTGCGGTCGATCATCTTACTCCGCTCCACCGCCGCCTTGTCTTCGGCGCTCAGTGTGCAGCCCATGACGGCGGCGGGAGAGGGAACTAGGCCCGAGCTCACTTACACACCGCGGGAACTGCCGCTTCGCTAGCTGACACGGCGTCTACTGCGGGGCGGCGGCCCTCTCCGTCAGCAGCCTAGCGCCCACAGGAACCGGACGTCCGGCGTTTACGACACTTCCGGCGACGCCCGGCGGCCGTTAACAGCTTGAACCATTCTTGCTCTGAGAGAGACGACACTGAAAGCGGAAGTCGGCCGGAGGGGCAGAGGTTCCGTGGAGCTGAGAGATTCTGTCAGGTTCTTTGTGCACCAACCTTAATACCTCTTTACCGACTCGGCTACTTGATTTGGATAAATGTAGAAAACCCGGGGCTTCCAGTTCATAGTGAGTTCCTGAGGTCGTACAGCGGATTGTGGGATAGGACGTGGGATTCCCAAATAAGAGCCCAAATCACGATAATTTCTACTGGGGCATTCTCACTGGCCAGAAGACCTCTTGGATCTCCAGTTGAGGAGCCCAGGGCGCCTCCCCAAGTACCTAAATTGTCTCACTGATCTGTGGATAGGAACACACTGACCAGCTTGGGCTCTGTACACTGTTTACTTCTGAGATCTGTAACACCGATCATGCCTAAGACCAGCCCTCTTCTCTGACCCACTGCCTCCTGCACTTAAAATATATTCTTGTCTTTGTGCTACTACGTATCCTTTTCCGTGGACTTAAGATTTGCCCAGCATCTTTGCTGGCAAAGGGCCACTTTGAAATCGCTAGTAGATTTGAAAGGTAAGTGTGTAGTTCATAAAATTTCCATGGTGCCCATCTCTCTAGTATAAACCAAATTGTACTACATTAGGATCTTAGGACCTCTACCAAGATAAGTCAACTTACACCCTATCCCCAGAAACAAAACAGTCCATCATTTGAATCGCCTACGAAAATGTCCTATAGTGATAAACACACAAAAAAGTTCTAATAAAAATTGTCTCTCTAGTATCACCTAAAAATTATTAAATACTCTGTAAAAGGCCCATACTGGTGTCTTCTTTAACTGATATCCCTGAACTACTGTGAAAGTGGCCCTAAATTATCTGTTCTGTCAAATAGCTGCACAATTACTGTACATCATAGGGAGAGGGATGATTTTGCCGCCCTTAAAACCTTGCGCTACAGTGAAAAAATACCTTATTTCCGTAACAGAATCTAGATTTAGGATTAAGGCCCCAACAGAAAGGTTTATATAGTGATGATTCGTTAATTAGAAACATTTAATTAGAGATTAGATCACCTTAAGCAGCCTATTGACCATAACATCAATAAATGCTAGGGCCAGGGATTTAGCTCAGTGGTGCCGCCGCCTGCCTCGCAAGCGCAAGGTCCCGAGTTCGATCCCCGGTACCAAAACAAACATGCCAATTCTTAAAAGTTTGAAAAGTCTCCCATTCATTTCCAAATGACTAACAGAAAGGGGACTGCATGTCCACTATCGGTACATGTGGGGGAAAAAGGGCAAGAGCAAAGGGAAGAAAAACCAGTATTTATTGAGTACCTATTTGCCAAATATAGCTAGGTGCTTCCAAGTCTCATCTCTTAATCCTCACAACAACCCTGTGAGGTAGGTAATAATGATCCCCATTTTTACAGATGAGGAAATAGGCTCAGAGAAGTTAAGCAGCTTTCCCAAGTTCACACAGTGAGTAGGTAGACCAGTCTTGCCTACAAATGCACACACACACACACACCCGCTTTTGTTTTTTTACCATGCCTCCTAAAAGATATTGACTAGGGCACCTGACAACAGAAAATCTATGGTTTTCATCTGGGCTGGCAAACCACCCCAGTACTACCAGGATGCAGGAAAAAAGTAACTGGCGGTATGGTTGCCTCCACCTGTTGATTCTTCAGTATATTAGGGAGATCAGATTTTATTCAGGTATATTTTTCAGAGCTAAGGTTTATATGCTGAACTTTATCAAGCCATCCTGATTACTTGAAAACTCTGTAAAGTGCTCGTAGAAATTTTGGGGAAAGTTCTCATAAAATCGAGAAACTTATTTCCTTCCTGATCCATTCCTACGGGGAAAAATAAATGGCCAAAGAAACCCATATATGTCAAACTCTAGTAAATGCCACTGAGACACAGTGTCAGGTAAGCTCAGCCTGAATTAGAGCTATCCTTACACTTAAAACATTTTCTTCTTTGATGTATGTGAAGGAAGTTGAAAGGCAATGTAAAAAACAAAAAAAAGGCAAAATGAATTAACAAAATGGCTGCCAAGCAATGTTTGATGCCCTCCCTTTTTCTCCCACATAACCACACCTTTCTATTTCCAGTGGAGTTACACTGCCATCTGCTGGCAATGCCATAGGTCTACTAGCTGATTAGAAGTGTTTGAAAGAAGTGTCTCCCCTATCTACTGAAATTCTTAGGTATGAGTTTATCTTAAAAGAGAGGTGTTGTTTTTTTTTTAATCACAAAAGACTTTCCTTGCTGTTTATATGTTCTAAGGAATTTCTTCAGTGTAATAGGCGCTAAACTAGAAAAATAGCTTAGTAGCAGGAAGACAGAAACTTGGAAATGTTTCCAGTTCAAAAAGGAAAAGACTGTTTGCCCAGTTTCATTTAATAAGTTTCACTTATAATCCCTTATACTTGCCACAATCTTCAGGAAGCCTCTATGCATCACTGAGATAAACTCTCAAAAGCTAGAACCATGGATATATATTCTCCAATATATTTTGTAAGCACATTATATAGTGCTTTATCAGATCTAAATGCTCTATAAAAATACTAAGTATCTGATCAAATTAGGCTATGAACTCCTTGAAGGAAGTAACCACACATCCTCTGTGTGGGTGCCAGGGAATAGTGGATATTCAGCTATTATGCACTGAATTGAACTGAAGGAGTCAATGTTGATATCAGTATAACTTTATCATAAAAATTATGTATTGGCTATTCAAAGGGGAAACTATCCCACTCCCACCAGCCAGTTTTCTTCCTGAGATGCTCAATGAACCAATAATTTGTTCAAATATAGACCATACCATCCTCTGGCCCTGCCGCGGCCCTTTTGTGTTATCTGATTCAACAGAGGGAAGTGAAATGGACAGGTGGTCCCACAAAGGTGCCCTGTCCAGTTTGTAATTATTCCCTCTCCAATGAAAATACCACTACCAGCTGGACATGTTGGTGCATGCCTGTAATCCCAGCCCTCGAGAGGCTGAGGCAGGAGGATCATCACAAGTTTGAGACCAGCCTGAACTATACAGTGAGACCCTGTCTCAAAAAAAAAGGAAAAAGAAAGAAAAAGGAAATACCACTATCAATACCAGTCAACACAGTTCCTACAGTCTCAATCAGTAAACAGCTGAACCCAACTCCTGTGTCCTCTCTCCAACCCAGGGCTACAGATAAGAGAGAGATTTAAGTCTTTGTCACTGAAGCTTAATTTTGAGAGCGATGAATGGGAGCAGGGAGGAATTTAATGGACCATGGAAACCCCACCCTTCCCATGCCCAACCTTGGCCTCTTGTACCCGATTGTCCAGGGGGCTCGAGATGGGTCACTGCCATGAGGAGAGAGATCAAGGAGGCCAGTCCTGGAAGAAAAAGATTTTTAGGATTATTGATCAGAGTGATTTACGTGGTCTGTTTGTATAAAGCCACCTTACCAATTCAAATGCTAACCCTCACCCTCAGCTATCCAACCCTCAACTGTTCTAGTTATTCATCCTAAAAGACAGGGAGAAAGGGCCATGCTTTCTTGTCTCTGCTGAGATAAGCTTCACACTTGATTTGCTATGTGCAAAAAAGGGAACAATAGAAGGGCTTTTCCTGAAGATTGTGTGTGACAGAGAATTGCAGTCACCTTTCCTGTCTTCTATTACAGGTACCCTAATTACTAGTTCCCCTTGCTTCTGGCCAAACCTAGGAAAAGTATATCCTGCTGGTCCTCTCCATTTAAGGATATTTCAGGTATAAAATTAGAAAAAAATCTATTAACTCATAGAGAAACACCTGACTGCAATTTCATTCTTTTTAAAACTAGTATGGAAACAGGAAGACACAGGCCATTTTCTTACCTTGCTTGGGTGCAATTATTGCCCTGGACAATTATACTGAACAACAAAATGTCCTCAGTGGTCCCCAGAAATAATTCCAAACCTGGCCCGCTGCCCTAATCCTCCAACTCCTACCCTTAGAGAATTTCCTTATTTCCTGAGGGAGGCATGGAAATTTCACAGACTGATAGGGTTCACCTCACCTTTGTGACCCTTTTCTCTCGTCATCGTCTCGTCATACCCAGGTTCCCTCCCCCAGTAATTAAAGATCAGCCAAGTCTAAAGCTTTTGCCACATGTCCATCCTGTTGGCTCTGGTCCTGACCCAGGCAATGCTAAGCAAAAGCTGTGTGTGGAGACCCCAGACTCAGACCCAGGCATCTGGAAAAAGTGGTCCCACAAGGTGCTCCTTGCGATGATAACTGGCCCTCAAACCCATCTCCCTCCAAGTGTCCAACAGCCCATCATGACTCCAGTCGGGGCAAGGGGGCAGGACGGAGGTAGCTGTCCGACATGATGATGTCACTGGTGAGTTGCTGCTCCAGGAATTCGGAGGTCTCCTCAGCTATCTGGCCTGGGATTCGAAAGTCAACAGCAGGTGGCTCCTGCTTAGGGCTGGGTGGAGGCCTGGAAACCCAGTTCTCGGCAGGACAGCCGGTCCCCTGAAGGAACTGCAGGAAGTTCTCCTCAATGGAGCCTTCTCTGCTAGGCAGTCTCAGCTCCTCCTCTGGAGCAGACTTGAAGAAACAGACAAACTGCTTGCTGAGTTCCCCCCGGATCTGCCGGTTGAGGCATCCATAGAAGAAAGGGTTGGAAGTGAAGCAAAAGTAGCCAATCCAGGTCACCACACTCTCCACCTGCCCAGTTGAAATGGGCTGAGCACTCAGGGCAACGTAGAGATGGAAAGAGAAGTAGGGCAGCCAACAGAGCAGGAACTGTCCCCCCACAGCCAAGAGGACCACTGCCGCCTTCCCTCCTCCAAACGTCCGGTGTGGAGTGGTCTGTGGGGCCCCAGAGCTGGTGACCATAGTGGATCGGCTGCTGAGAGACTCAGAGCGCTGTCGGGGTGTCTCCATCCATGTGGGCAGTGGCCCGTGCTGCATGGCAGCAACACGAGCCACTCGGAACATGCTGCAGTAGACCACAAGGATAAGGAGCAAGGGCAACAAAAAGTAAACGACGGCAAAGACCACCACAAAAAGCTGGCAGTAGGCACTATGGCTCCATTGGAGTGAACAGCCTGGGGGTACACTGGGAGCTCCTTCTTCCCAGGAGATCCTTCCCAACACTGGCACAGAAGCCATGGCCAGGGCCTTCACCCACACACCCACCAGCACAGAGGCTACTAGCCCCAACGTCATGCGCACCTCATAGCGCATGGGGTGAACCACGTAATAGTAGCGCTCCACATTGATGGCTGACACAGATAGGATGGCCAGGCTGACAAAGCACACACTCAGGAACAAGTAGAGGCGGCAGGCCACCTCTCCAAAGAGGGCATGGTCAAAGAGGGCAGAGCTGGAGAGCATGGCCAGGGGCATGAGGGTCAGGGCAGCCAGCAGGTCCACCAGGCAGAGGTGGAAGACAAAGACAAATTTTCGGAGGGCGGGAGTCTTGGCAATAACGGCCATCACAGCAGCATTGCCAGCCACAGCAGTCAAATCCAGCAGGAGCATGAAGAACAGGGCCACAGATTCTGAGGCTATGTCCCGCAGGCCCACCTCTGGGACCCCACTGGCTGTGGAGGGATCTGGAGTTTGAGGACCCCTCCCCAAAATGGAAGAGTTCCCTGATGACTGGGGGATGGGTGAAGACTCCATGGGGCTGAAAGAGGACACCCAGGGCACCTCCTGTCACGGGCCCATCCCCCATCCTAGTCCACAACCCTAGGATGGCGAGCCCAGGCCCACGCTTCCCAATTCGTGGGGGAACTTCACTGGAGTCTTTTGGACAGGCTCTTATCACCACCCTTGAAGACTGGGCTCCTCTATGGGCAGAGCACCAGGCTAGACAGCCATGGGCTCAGAGATCTTAAGCACTTTCTGGCAGGAGGTGGCGCCAGGGTCAGCCTTGGTGACTGGGAAGAAGCAGGAGACATGACAGCAGTGGAGCCCTGCCTGCTCAGCAGTACTCCACCTTGTGAGTGGCTTCTGGCTCCTCCTTTTCCACTTTCTTTCCTCCAGTCTCCATATCCTTCTCCTCTTTCAAGAGCTGTGATTCAGGGATTATAAATTCTGTCTCCCTTTCGCAGGGTCTTGCTGAGCTCTGGGACAGTGCCCCAGCTTTAAGGTTGCCTATGTGATGTTTCCAATTTCTGGTATTCTTTGGATGAGGAGTAGAAGTAGCGCAAGTTTGGCTTCTGGTCCCAGCTCTGGGCATTACTAACTCTGCCACTCTTCCAGATTCCAGTTTCTCAAAAAGACATCTGTAAAATAAGGGAATAGTATCTGTTTCATAACTGTATTTGCAGAATCCAGTGTGATTTTTTAATAGCAATACTAACCACAAGCAGTGATGTTTACATGGTACTTTCTACATGCTGGGCCCTGTTCTAAGCACTCAACAAAAATAAACTCATTTTAATCCTCACACAACCCATGAAACATATTATTCTTATCCCCATTTTGCCAGGGATGAACCCGAGGCCTAGAGAAGTTAAGGAATTTAGCCAAGGTCACATAGCTAATAAGTGGCAAGGTCCAGGTACCAACAGTCTGACCCTAAGGGAGTTCTGTTGCCCACTGTGCCATGTTGTATCTGAGTGCCCTCTATATCAGCTGGAATATAGTAGGCTTCCAGTAAACCATTGTTGAATTTGACCTGCAACTAAAAATGTCTCTCACTGCTCTAGGGCTATTACCTAGTAAAGGGAACTGAGCTTTAGTTTCTTCTGACATCACCACTCCCGCAATAAAGAGCTGACACTTTGGAAATTTTGAGAAGGATCAATGAAAGCAAAATATCCCAGCTGGAAGGAAACTGGGAGGCCAGCCTATCCAGCCTCATGGGCTCTCAAGGTGGACGGGCATAATCACTTGAAAGCTGCCCTTCTTCATTTTCTCTTTAGCTTCTGAAGGCCACTGTGCCCTTGCCAGTGCAAGAGGAGCTGCTCCTAACATCCCCACTCCCCATATATCTGGTTATTGGTGCTGACCCTTTAAGGCTCCTTGACTGAAAGCTCTCTTGGTTCTGAACTGTTACCATGGTCACAGAACAAGGAGTGGGAATAGGTGCCCATGTAAGAGGCAGGTAGGTGGAGAGGTGGGGAGAGCAATGTGATTGTGGAATTGAGTGAGCATAAAGCAGAGAAGACTGGAAGAAATAAAAAATCTCTCATTTCATCTGATCAAGTGGCAGATCACATATGTTTTACATGTGTCATTATCCATATTGAGTTTGCATGTAGTTGAAATAGGTTGCCCAATGTAAACAAAATTGTTTTTATTTACATATACCATTGTTGCAGTGCAAATTCCCTCAATCTAGTGTGCCTAGTTATGCAACTTAGAAGCAGATTGCAGACATGTCAAGTCTGATGACCAAAGCTCTCTGGGCCAGTTTCCTCATCTGTGAAATGGGAGCATTGGACCAAGGTTTCTAGACATAACATTTCATTACTCTGTGAGTTCTTGGGCTACCATAAATCTTGATTCATACAACTTCTAACATGCCATACATGCAGTAGGTGCTCAGTGCAATTTTTTGAATTGAATCAGACTCAAATTGATTAGTTGAATCCCTGCCCCCTAATACATACTCCAAGAATATTCAATCAGTCATCTGTGTGCCAGCCAGGGAACTCTCTTCTGGAAAGAATAACTCAGACTCCAGGATTGGAGACTACCCTGACTTTGGATGAGTTCCTGGAGACATGCCTCTCTCCAGGAATAGTAGAAAGCTCATTTCACAGTTGAGATGGCCACATAGACTCAGGGTCTGCAGAGATGAAGAGAGGGCACAAAAGTGGAGACATCAGCTTCTCATAAGAGTTTATCAAGAAAAATGCCTGACAGAAATATCAAAGGAAGCATACATGTCCCTTATTTTTCATGCCATGATTTGCCCATTCATTCTATCTGCAAGTGGAAACCAAAAGATGTGGCTCTGAGTTCCTAATAAGGAAAGGCTTACCATGGGTGGATAGACAGCAAGGCCCAGATAAGGTCCCAGACTGAGGGAAGAAGACATGGTTTCCATGTGGAAGGGTGCTGTGAAGCCATGATGGAGTCCTAGGCAAAACAGCATTGGACATTTCTCTTTCTCATAGCCCCCTCTTGCCAGTATTTCTACAAGGACTCCTAAATTCCAAGATTCCAATTTACTCCTTAAAGACAGACTCATATACCTGACTCCTGGGCACAACCCCTTCGCTGACTGACAGGGTTATATAGGGGAGGGCCATGGTGTATCAGTCTCACAGAGAAAACCCAGAGAGCCTTACTCCTCTTCTAGCTCATGTCATCATGATTCTACCCCAACAATGCTCTCATCCTCCCACTGCTTCCTTCCAACACCACCCCCCTCACCTCCAGGACCTCTTGGTACTAGAAGGGTTTGTCAGCACAGGAACTAAAGCCTGGCCTCTATCAGTGTCATGGTCAAGTTACATATATCCTTGTTTCAGGATGCAAAAATGCACATAAGTACCCAGCCCAAGGCCATAGAGGTGTTTCTGGAATTCACATGCACCTATTTCTCAGATACAGAGCTTCCATCCCAAAGATCAGAGGCCAGCCTTTCTTCAGGCAAGAGTGTGCCCCCTCCTAAGCCAGGGGAGATTTCTGGAGAGCTTCAACACCTCTCCCCAGCAGAGTTGTCCGTGCCCAGGACACGGTTCCCATCAGCCTGGAGGCTGAAGGACCCATTCCTAGGATGTGGGGGACCCATCTCTATGACATGGACCCAGACAGATGGAGAACACTGCTACAAGATGTGGCTACTCCTGCTGGTAGGGGATGATCAACCCCCATCTCTAGGCATCAGATATGCCCACACCCCAGTACTGCCTTTGGGATACCTGGGAGTCCATCCCCTGCAAAAACTGCTCACCATAGGGTAGAATGAGCTGTTCCTTGGAATATGGCCCTTCTGTAGGGCACCACAGCACCCACCACCAGGCCCTGGGTCTGTCCCCCATTCCTGGCCTAGTCGGCAACTCCTACCTTTGCTGAGCAGCTCCCGGCTCCCATGTGATAGCTTCTCTCAGCTGATGCTTCTCCAAGGCTGCTGAAGCCTGAACCACTGCAGTGAGCAGTGAGAGGCAGCCGGCAGAGCAGGATGCTCCAAGAGCTTCTGGGTCCTAATGGCCTCCTGCTTCCCACTCAGCCCCTTGGAGCCACTTCTGGAGCAAACAGCTGGGCACCAGTACCCCAGGAAAAGTGCTCAGATGTGAGCCCAACTCCTCTCACTTCTCTCAGGTTGCTGGACTGCATCTCAAAAGTTTTGTGTGGCTGGATGATGATAGACAGGAGAGACCTTTTGATCAGTCTGATGAAGAGAAAGAGCACTTAGAATCAGAAAATTCAGGCACATTTTTGTTTTCTTACTTGTTCAAAGGGATTGTAGGAGAGATGATCCCGAGGTTCCTGACAGTCCTGTCATTGCAGCATTCTGTGTGACATCAGGACTGAGTTGGTTTTGTAGCAAGCAGGTCAGTATAGACACAGAGCCCCCAAGATTAGGCCAAGGAAGGTCTGAGCTCCAGGGAATGCTCCAGATTTGATTCCTTTGGAAGCTGTCATATTTGCATAGAGAACAGATTGGAGGGTAACAGTTTGAAGGGGAGCTGAAGGTCTAATCTTGACCCTTCACTCCCCCTCCCCAAGTACATGACTACTATTTTCTTAAGTTGTATGTTTATTTGGAATGCAGCTGTGAGTGCTAATGGAAATGGGGATCTAACTTGTCTCTGAGCTACCCTATACACCTCAACAACAATACTCCCTGAAGGCAGAGTAGGCTGAGCACTTAGGAAGGTTTCACTGGTGTGGCTTTCTTTGCACAACTAGATAGAGCTAGGGAGCATCATCTATGAACCATCACTCATTCATGGGTTGGGCCTTTGAAGATGAGATGAGGGGCATGGCCTTCTACTAGAGGTGAAGAAAATGGTCGGTTCCACAGGTACAGGACTGTTACCAAAGATAGGGTCCTAACATGGCAGAACTGCAGGGCATTCTCCAGGCCATTGAACCCTCATTCCTGAGATGAAAAGATGGCTCAAAGTCACACAGCTTGCCTTGGAAAAGCCATGAACCTAGACAGGGAATCAGACATAATACCTGCTCCAGAGCCTTCTGCTCTGGAACTTGTCTAAGAACTCTTCTGTCTCCAAAAAGAAAAGGGAATTCTAAAACTGTTTATTAGACCCAACCCAAAGAATCATAAGATCAGTGAAATACCCAGAGAACTCAGAAGGACAGATTGGCTGCCCCAGACCCCAGGTCAACAACAAAGAGACTCCTGACCCGCCCAGAAATCACCCATTCAGTGAGTTCTGCTATCACCAGTCACCATTTCTTGAGCTCTAATGAGTATCAGGCCCTCAACATGTAGTATCTTCAATCCTTACACCAATCTTTGAGTCATTATCTACCCTAGTTTACAGATGAGGAAGCTGTCAGAGGTGAGATCAAGAATGGCCAGAACCAATATTCAAACCTGAGTCTGTTTGATTTGTTTTGTTTTGTTTTTGGTACCAGGGATCAAACTCGGAACCGTGAGGTTGGAATGCAGGTGGGGAACCACTGAGCTAAATCCCCTGCTCTGTTTGAATCAAAGTATCTGCTCCACCCTCTCTAGGGTTCTGATGTGACACTGAGCAGGAGCCCAGACTGCCATGGCCCCCTTCCAGGGGGTTCAGAGAGGATAAGAGCAGACATGGGCTCTTTGGTACAAGTTTATAGAAACAACACTAGACTAGGATCGGAAAACTTTGGTTCTACTTTGGCTCTAACCTACTGGTTGGTGGTAAGAACTTGACCTGTGAATTGGCTGTCTACATTAGCTTTTGTATCTATAAAATGGACAAAATTCTTCACACTCCAGCTTATCTAAGAGGAATAAGGAGTTGTGATGCCAACATAGCCTGCTTCTCAGGCTTAGGAGAGCTAGTACAGTTGCCAGTTACCATAGCTGGCCAAACAGCTGGTGTGGTGGCCAGTGGCAAGATCATGAGGCCTCTCCCAGAGAGCCATTGAAGATGGTATCAAGGAAGTGGATTCTAGAGCACCTTCCAGGTGCTGGAAGTCATCTTGGCTCAGTGGAGAGACAGACAGAGAAAGAGAAAGGTAGGGAAGCAGGGGTAAGAGGTGTAGAGGGGTTGCCTATGCAAGCCCGGGGGCAGCTGGTAATAGTACTAACCAAACTGATGATGATGATGATGATGATAGTTCTTCAGGCCCACTCTGGGGAGGATATATCTCATTAAATTATCTCAATCAAAGTTTGGAGTATTGACATCATATTTGCTACCACATACTGCCAATCTCTCCCTTTAGAGTTTATGACAATGGAGATGGTGAAAAGGCCAAGGTACAGATACTGGGTATGGCCTCTCAACCAAATCAGCAGTCTGTAGTCCACCATGCATACCCAGGTCCCCTGTTATAAGATGGGGACCAGGCCTCCTCCCAACAGTGGAGCCTTTCTCCGCAGTGCATGGTGGGACCCTTGGCTCTGAGGACTGATCTCGCCATTCCAGACTTACTCCTTCCTATAGCCATACCCCACCCTTGCCCACAAGCACCTCCTGACAAGGCTTGGCTCACCTGTCTCCTGGCCAAGATGAGACCGTGAAGCTGATCGAGGTTACCTTTTGTTCATCTATTTATTTCATGCATCTTGGGCCAGAGATTTAGCTCAGTGGCACCGCACCTGCCTCACAAGTGCAAGGTCCTGATTTTGGTCCCTGGTACCAAAAAAAAAAGGTATTTCATGCATCTATTTATTAACACATTCGATGTGAATATGCTCTAGGTGCCCATAGTTCCCTCTTTAGAGACCCTATCTGCTTAGTGGCACCTCCTGCCTTCCTCTGTTCTCTCTGCTTCTGTCAAAACCTGTTCTCAGGAAAGACATTGATAAATTCATTTGCACTGATACCAGCTTAATGTGTTCTCTCTCCCAAGGATATTAACAATTTAACAGGAAACAAAGGGAAAAGGCGAAATGCTGGGATTCCAGCTTTAACAAGGGATGTCCCTGAAATCCCACAACGTAGACTGCCTATTCAGCCTCCTACTCCCCAGCTGGGCCTCCCCTCAAGATGCCCATCAACACCCAATCTTCCCCACCCAGAGACCAGACTCCCAGCTCACCCCTGTACCCCAGTTCCCAAATTTTCAGAGCCCCACTTCGTCAGCACCAGTGGTGCCTGCTCCCCAGGAACCCACTTCCCCCAGCCCCATCCGGGGCCAGGCTGAGGGGCTGGGAAGAAGGCAGAGGAAAGCAGAGGTGAGAGCTTTTCCGTTCCCTTTATCCCCCCACAGTCTGGCCCACACCCCCTGCCAGGAGCCGAGATCCAACGGTATATTCAGCCTGCAGCTGCCACTGGTCATGTGAGCCCATTGCTAGGTTACAGGGACCCAAAAATAAATCCTTCCCAACCAGATTAGAAACTGGGGGCCTTGGATGAACCAGGCTCAAAGAAAGGCAGGAACATCCACAGTGCATGTGCAGGCCGGGCCACGCTGCCAGCTTCCTATCCATCAACCCAGGCTCAGTCTGGACCCCCGAAGAAAGATTCCAGGCAGCTTTTGGGCCTTAACAATGCAATAAAATTGGGCCAGGGATTTAGCTCAGTGGTTCCACCGCCTGCCTTGCAAGCACAAGGACCCAAGTTCCATCCCTGGTACCAAAAACAAAAACAAAACAATAAATAGATCTACAGGCTGAATGGCCATCCTGGCTAGCCATCAAGGACAACTTGAGCAACCTATCCAACCTCCGTGTCAGTGGCCTGTTCCTCCAGATGCCCCACCCCAACACCCATTGCCCTGACAAAGCAGCATTCACCATTTGCCCCAGGGCCTGGTGGCAATAACTACCGATTGTCCTTTTCCAGTGTCAGGAAGGGAGATCTAGCAGTAGGCATAGTATTGGACATTTTCCCATGAACTGACTTACCCATCTTCTGGTTTGGTTTGAATAACTACATTTACAAATGGGAAAACTGAGGCTCAGCAAGGTTAAGTGGGTTCCTTAGAGCCACCTAGTTGAGTTACCAGGATTCAAACCTGAACCTATGCTTACTTGGACTAGGGATGGGGCATGGAAGAAGACAGGAAGCACAGTAGACCAAAAGGGGGGATTGCCACCATTCCCTGATGCCTGATAACTTGCTCTGAAATGGGGATAGTGCCTCTGCCTGCAACTCCCCTCACATTCTCCAAGCCAGGGCACAGCTAGGCCAGGCCACATGCCTCCTTCTCCATGGCTTCAGGCTCTGCCCTCTTTTCTGAGAAACACAGTCCAGGACCAGGGTGGGGTCATGCCTGCTGCTGGGTCTTGGGGAGGGACAGAGACTAACCCTATAGCAAGATGACATGGCAGCAGAATAGCAGAGCTGAAAGGGCCCTAAGAGGCCAGGTGTCTAACCCCTTACCTTACAGGCAAATAGGCCCAGAGGCACAATAGCTTGTTCAAGGCTTCACAGGTAGAGCATGAAGGAGGTATAACCAGAACCTAAGCCTCTGGGTTCTTAACTTTTTTTTAACCCATCACTAAGGATGCAAAGACTTGGCTAATGGCAACCTAGAGTCATTCCCACACCTGGTGCTCTTCCTCAACCCACCAAATCTCCAAGGCCCTTCCAGCTGTGTGTTCTCTTCAGGAAAGCACATCTCTTCCCTGGTCAGATTCTAAGAAGGCCCAGATTCCCATGGCTTCTCTGTACTCTTCACCCGCTCTCCCCACACTATGCACACTTCTGCTGTCTCCTGAAGCCCCAGGACATCCCATTTCCACCTCCTTCCACCTCAAAAGTCCAACTACAGGCTGTATTTCATTCAAGTCAAGAAATATGCACTGATCTGTTCCATGCAAAGAGAGAAGAATACAAAGGGATACAAAGATGAGATGAATATAAATCTTCCCCTCTTGATGCTTGCAATCTAGGATGGAACAAAGCAGGTTATAACCTTTAAGAGAGTCAAACTGTTGGGGAGATCCAGAGGAAAAAGAGGACCTACTCCCTCAGGAAATCCAGGAGGGCTTCCTGAAGGAAGTGGCATGGGTCTTAAAGGTTTTTTAA